GTACATGTCCGTGTGTTGTGCATGCCCGTAAACGGGCTGATCCCGGGAGGGACAGGTGGTAATTGCATGCAGCAGTCTGTTCTTCTCTATGGGAGGAGGTTGTACGCTGTTATACTCACATCCTAACTTGCACATCTGTGTGGGTCTCAGTGTCCACACTTGGAAACACACTGTCCCTCCTGGGATCGTCCCGTTTATGGGCGTGCATGCCGCACGGACGTGTACGCCCCATCCCTCCAGGGATTGGCCTGTTTACAGCGTGCATAACGCATGGATGTATAAGCCCTGTCTAAATGAGGCCTTATTATTTCCACATATTTTTACATTATCATCAGGCTTGCGAACAATAATATACAGGCCTCATTCACATGGACATGAAGGGCCAGTTTTTGATGCATCTGAAGCTGCGGGAAGAATCATGTAGGAAACTCATGTAACCCTAAGGAGATACAAAAGCTGCTTTCTGCAGCTCCAAGTTTTGAGAGCAGCACACAGATGGTGTACGGACCTGGATCCATCATGTCTGCAGATTCTATCCTATTGCTTGAAGGTTCCAGTACTAGCAGGTTTTTGCCTTGTCTTTGGCGTTGTCATGCACATACAGTGTTGCCCCTTGAGTTTTGGCCTTATTTTACCCTTGAGCTTGGAAGGCTGCCTCAGACACAGTTAAGCAATTTGGTATATATGTACCATATGTGTGTGATTAGATTGCATGAAGTTCACTACAAAAAAGGAATTCCAGCAAAAGGCATTGAAGGGAATTTATCATAACCGGAGCAGACAGAGTCTGAAACAGTTGCCCATGGCAACCAATCAGCCTCTCTCTTCAGTTTGTTCAGTTAAGATTTGAAAATAAAGAAATAACATTAGTAGACATGTGTTGCGAATGAAATATAGAGGTACTGGAAGTTTCACACCCCCCGGGTTGTAATGTAGAGGAAGAAGGTATTTCCACAGTGGGGTGTGCAAATGCCCAAAGGGAGAAAAGAAAAGGGGCTTTTTCGAAAACAATCCCAGACCTCAAAAATAAAATCTTAGAAAAACATTTTATTAAGTGGGGGTTAGATTAGAAATACCCTCTCTAAGGTCAAGAAAAAGCGGTTGCAGTAGAAGGTCGCAGCTCTCCTTTTTACTATCAAAACTACCACCAAGGATACAGAGAGTCACATAAGAGGACCAGTAACTCTTTCAAACATCAGATTGGACTTACTCTGCAAGTTATGTAAATTCTGTACTCACATTCAAAGGCCAGACAAACTCCACTTAAGTATTTTTCATTTTTAAAGCCCTTTTATTTTATTGCTGCCTGTGTCTTTTTGATTATATCTTTTCTGTAAATATTTCCTGCACTGTTGCCATTAAAACAGAAGGTGGTGGCTAGTGTGTGTGTGTGTGTGTGGATAAGGGATAACTGCTTAGTTAATCTGCCCCAGTGATGTTTACTCTCAGTCTGCTGATGCTGTGAATGTTGTCCCAGGAGCTGAAAAATCTCTGCTCAGGTTGAGGCTGAGGCCCCGTTCACACTTGCCATGCGTGTGACCAAAGCACTGGTGTGCATTCACACCACATGGTAAAATATGTGTGACAAGCTTGCCATGCCGTTACTTGTTAATGGCTCCTCAAATGCAGCAGGCAAAATGAGCATCTTTGCCCACTTGTTGATGCATGATAAATGCACAGAAAAGTGTGATGAAAAAACGTTTCAAGCTTGCAGCTCAAACTGCTACATGAGCTTCTTTGCTGTGCTTGTTGCACCTGGGACAGCCCATTCAGATAAATGGACTGACATTCAGCAAACACAACAAAATGCTCACAAACGCGACACACAGTCACGTGTGCCGCAAGTGTGAATGAGGCCTTAGAGTGTAATTGTCACATCTGGTTGGCAGCTTGTTGGGATTGAGCATTAGTGCATGTGTTAAGTAACTCACCCTGCAATAAAGGACTGTAACATCTGTGCACGCAATTCATGGAGATAGGCTGATGGATATTTTTTTTTTTTTACATTTATAAATAGACATATAGCTACAGTTCCCTCCCTATTCTTTGTTTTCAAATCCTATCTTTTATTCGGTAATCATGCCTGCTCTAGCAGCATACATAAGAATAGGTAAAGACTCTTGGTAGCAGTATGCTATATACCGGTGCCCCACTGGTGGACCCTATATCTAAAATATTTGCACTGTCTTACCTGTCAGTAATGTACGAGCATCATCGGAAGTTGTCCACCGGTTCATTTACTATGTTCTCTGTAGCTGTGCGGCATTACCGCTCTTTCTTTTGTATGTGTACCAAGTGTCAAACAGTTTTATACCTTTCGATATGACACCAATTGTTTGTACAAATGTATGTGAAGTTGTCTTTTACGTTTGTAATCTAATAATAAAAACTTTATTTGTAAAAAAAGAATAGGTAAAGATGATATGATGAATGTGGGTGAAGCAAGATGAATTGGAAGGTATGACAAATCAACGAAGGAAGTAACTCATGATTTATATGAGGCAGATATCCAGACACACATATTAACAGTAGACAGACAGACCACACACAAGAACACCACACATTAAATCCACGTAGCCCACAGTCAGAGCAAACATATACTTTGTGATACCACCTATTAATGCTGTGGTAAACATTGTTAGACGACCATGGTGGCAGCAAGTCCAATTATTATTTCTGTCCTTCCTGACTTTCCTCTTGCATGTAAAGCTTTTATATTGATGGTCCTTGCTGTATGTGTGCAAGGTGAAGACTGGGGTTTAGTGATATATGATGACTTAGCTCCACTAACTTACAACAAGCACAATGTTCTCAGTAACATACAGGAAACTGGGACAAGATGTCTTTGCAAAGATGGAAGATGTCTGCCCAGGAACAAATAATTAGTTAGCACAAGACTAAAGAAAACTTCACTTTCAGTTTTGGAGGTGAACAATTGGAAGTTTTTTGTTTGGTTTTCTAATTTGGAAAGTTGTAGAGAATATTTTTCCAACCAGCAAACGTACAGGCAACATGCTTCAAAAATAGGGCAATTGCCAAATGTGTCATCCACTTGAGATAAATACATTCATTACATTTATCTTAAGTGATTTTTTGTGAACACCCTTCAACCACCCCTTAAGCTGCCTAGGAGAGTTCTTTTTGACACAAGACCTGGGCGCCTTATTCTGCTCCCTAGCTTTCTCCCTCCCCATCACCAATCATATTCAAACTTTCAAGGCAGGGCGGAACCAGATTGGTGGCCAGTAGAAACATCTGCATGCTTGCAGTGGAAATTTGTTCCATCACATGCAGGAGTTTTCAAAGCAAGTGTGTGAGCATTTGCACTATAGAAAAGCCTGGATGGCAGAACTATATAATAACTTTCAGAAGTGTATCACATATCTTAAGGTAGTAATGTAATCTCTGCAGAAAAAAAAAGATCTGGCTATAAGTATACATTGTTTATAGTATAAGACTTGACTGCAAAAAGATTTTGTTCACAAAAATAATAACCAGCACATATGACATCAGGATTCCATAGATTATAGCTTATGAAATGCCCTATTCTTAAAACATTTTGAACCGATATTTGGCCCACAAGAATAAACATGTAAGTTGATATACTAAAAGCAATAAAAGATTGTGTCCTGCAGGGCTGTTTTTATAATTGTTCTGATGAGTAGGGATAATTATCATGATAGTTATGAGGCATTATTCAGTATGATAGCAACAGTTTACATATGATGATAGTACAAAGCAGTAGTATGGCTGTACCTTGACCACACCACTGCCCTTCTTCTCTTGGTTATTACCTGATATAGTAAACACCCAGTTATTTGGCACCCACGGGGATTGGTAGGTACCTGATAACTGTAGTTTCCGGTTGCACGAGAGTTAATAGCAAGTTATCTGCTCAGTGGATGGGTGCAATAGCCAGCCTGCTTTTGACTGTTGCAATTTATAACTGCAATATATAAAATTTTTGTTCTCGGGTTTAGTCATCCTTTGAATAAAAGTCTTTATTTTATTTGTAAACAGGTCAGCATGTTTTGTACCTCCCCCATCACCTTTGTTTTTCCTTGTAGCCACTGTAAACGTGAATGTGCTGTCTTAGCTGGGGGGGGGGGGAGGGCGATGACCTTAGATTCAAGAGAATCTTGTCACAGCACTGTTAGATAGCCATATCACTTGGCATGACAATTGGTGGCCGTTTCTGTACAGTGCTATTAGTTAAATGTGACTCTGTTACTAAATTAAATCTGTTCAATAAATGGTTCACTGCAAATAACTTATTGGATACTTACCTATACTTGTACCTAATCTCTGCAGTAGTGAAAATAAACTGCCAGCTGAAGATCCTACAGAATCTAACACTTCTGAGTGCTTGAATTTCCTAGTCCCCCCACCCCACTGCACAGTGTGGTTCCACACCGGGTGACACCATAAGAGGGCGTGACACCAAAATGACTGTTAGTCATTGTACAGATTTCTTTTAGTACTAGAATCACTTTAAGAGCACAGGAAACTTCCAATGGAGGCAACTCAACACACCACTCTTGCAATAAGGTACAGTCTTAAAAGATAATTTAGCCCTCACTGCTGTAAATTTTTTCTAATGTTTTATCACTTTTCAAGCTCAATACTTCATAAGTTTAAAAAACATGAGGCATTTGCAATAGTCTTTCTTTCCCTTTACGGCAATCTAATTTAGACAGCTACAACGTGAAAATCCATCCAGCAACCATTCTGGAACTCTGGGCATTTCCATACTCTCCTGTAACATCAGTTAAAACAATACTCTATAAGGTGAATTATGTCATCCATATCTTTATGCCTATGCCCCTTAATGCACATTCAAGAGAGTAAAAACAGTGTTAGAAAAAAGTGTATCGTTGGAGGATATCAGTGATGGGAATATTAAACAGTGGCATTTTTTTAAACTTTGGAATGATGTTATTGTAGAAAATCAAAGTCAATCATATTACATACTATCATTGTTTTTCTTTTTTTTTTTGCAGGTATAAAATTGTGATTACACCTAGACGAATTTGTCTGTCCATTTGGCTTGTTTGGATTGTGTCAGTTTTGGTCGGGCTGGTTCCAATGTTCGGATGGAATAAAAAATCCAACTCAGACTACCTGGCTTGCCAGTTCCTTAGTGTTATGAGGATGGACTACATGGTCTACTTTAGCATTTTTGGGTGGGTTTTCCTTCCCATGATCATTATTTTGGCTTTATATATTGAAATTTTCTATCTGATCAGAAAACATATCAGAAAAAACATGTCAAATACTAGAAGCAGGGGAATATTCTATGGCAGGGAATACAAGACTGCAAAATCCCTTGCTCTGGTTTTTTTGCTGTTTGCAATCAGCTGGTTGCCATTGTCCATTCTTAATTGTTATCTTTACTTCACCCAAGGCACTAAACATTCCAGTGCATTAAAGTGGTTCATATCTGTAGCCATACTGTTGTCTCATGCCAACTCAGCGATGAATCCAATCGTCTATGCTTTCAAAATAAAGAAGTTTAAAGACTCATATACCCAAATTATAAGGACATATATCCTACACAGAGTGATGATATCTGAAAGTTCAAGTGGGGAGCACACATTGGATGAGATATCTCAGGAAATTGTTGAATGATCCTGAGGACTTACAATGCATCTTTTAGCAACATATTGCATGGTTAATGATTTCATAATTTGCAATGGTAAAACTGGTATGACAGTGAATCTAGTACATTATAGATATATAATATGGAGCTGGGGAGCATAGGAAATAAGAGTTTATTTCCTATGCTTCTCTGCTTCATCTAGTGATCATGATGCTGTATTATATTACATTGGACCTGAAAATAAAATATACTAAGAACTTTCATTTTTGCCTCTATTCACTCTGAGATTGTTTATATGGGGCCTTAGACTGCAAGTATAGTGCCTGGGACTTACAATGGTGTATTTTAGAGGATGTAATGGCTAGGTTAAACTTTTTCAAGAAAGAAAAATGGTTTGGATTGTATAAATACATACGTGTTTGTACATTTAATGGTTTCTATAGATTCCATGGACTCCAGGAGGGAGTAGGCAATTATTTCATCAGCTGCATATTTGGTGGTAAATAAAAAGCTTTGTTTTCAGTTTTAGATAGAGTGGGGTGGTCTCTGCTGTTTTATTTAATTTGTGTGCCCGTTAGGGAGATTTAGGCCCCTGTTTGTCCTGATGAGTACTTTTAGATAGAGTTGGGTAGTTTTAGACCCTCTGCTTTTTTAATTTGATCTGTGTCCCCATTTGTCCTGCTGACTATTGTCGTCAAAACAGAAAGTGAAGGGAAGTCCTAATTTTTAAAACTGTCACCAGAGCCAAAATGTAAGGGGAAATATTCCAATGGGTACAACTGTTCTGATGATAACTGTCTAAGATGTGAATTTCCTATACTTTGGGAAGATTCCTCATACTTCCTCATGTGGCTCAGGGAGTAAAAAGAAATCTTCTTAGCTAGACACAGACAGCAGAAATAAGTGGATAGAGATGTAACCCTTTCCAACATTATATATTATACACTTTAATACTACAGAGAAAGGGAATATGTAGCCCATAAGGTTGCATTATACTAAGTCAATGTGTTTGCGTAAAATTGCATATTTTTAACAACAATAGTGCTCCTGGTAAAAGACCAATTTCACATGGTCTGATCAGGAGGGGACCTGTGCACAGGCATCCATTTACATCTGGTTACCCACAATCTGGCATGATCAGGTCCAGTGAATGGATCGCTGAGCCGGAGGTAACCAGATGTTAATGGACACCTGTCCATTTAACTCAGTTTGGCCATACACTAACATTGGTCCGGTAATGTCAGTTTTTTCCTGAATGGATACAGATGTCACAATGGTGAAAAACTGACAGGTGGGCCTGATTGGAAAGCTAGTGTTAAAGGGACCTGATGCTTCCAGATGGATTAACACTGGAAAGTGAACCCTGGTGTACTTGGTGAGCTGTGTGAATAACTTAGTGCTGAATTGTGGGCAGCATGGAAATTGATCACACAGTGAAACATGACCCTTTCATAGTTAAGATTCACAAGATACAAACAAGAAATAAAGTCTTCCACACACCAGAAATATCTTTTTAGAATTCTGCTTCTGTGATTCACAATCACAGGAAAATAATCCTTACTACCCTCCTAGAAGATTACAGGAAGGCAGAAACATCAATCAGCAATAAAGAGTGGCAGTGCTCTTGGACACTGTTTATCCCTTGTAATCCAAAGCCATAAGTGTAAAGACCAGACTTATGTTGGATCCTTTTCCAAAGGACCATTTGATGCCCCTGATCATTAGAATGTTTGATGCAGGTATAACCTAGAAATTTCACTTCTGTTGCTATTCAGCTCTGCAAGATTGTACAGTAAGAACATTCATTTAGCAATGTGTTTATATGATAAAGCATTATTTGTTTTAAATTCTACATACAATTTACTGTATCCAGTCAAATTATGGTCCCCTATAATGTAATTTATTCAACTTTTTTCCTTATTGTCAACAGGATGTACAAAAATGATCATGCTAATGGGACACTGTATAAGTGATGCAAAAAAATGTGTTAGAAACTGAAGGTACCTATGTATAATTATTATACAAAAAAAGTATTTGAATAAACAATATATCTTTCATTACAGAGTCTGTGATAGTCTTGTATACATATTTGAAATCAATTTGCTCTACTGCAGATGTACATCCCTAGCACACCGTAGTGTCCTCCTGCCATCTCCCTGTGACACCTTGGACTTAGATATTTAAAGCTCAACTGAATTTGAATAAATAGATATCCAATCAGATAGACATTGTAGTTACAACCTTCTATTGCCATCGTGTTACCTCCTTGTTTCTGTTAGAGCAGCTTTGTAGGGTGTCTAAAATTACTGTGCTATCCAATAGGCACTATATTTATGCCCAGTGCCCTGAGTAATTAGCAGGGACGCACTGGAGGCCCAGCAACCAAAAATGCACGCTGGGACTCCAGTGCGTCCCCCTAACCCAAAATAGTCAATAGTCAAGTAATTAGCACACAGTAACAAAACTGGTTTGACATTCCACCTATCTTCTTCAGCAATGCAAGTCTATTTGATGACGCTTGGGCGTTGAAGAGGGGTGCTGCAGTTACTCACCTATACCAGCATGGAGCATCAGCAGTAGGAGACTAGGGAGATAAAGGATTAAGAGAAAACTCAATTTTAAGGCATTCAGCTACTACTCATAACATAATAACAAATCATAACATGAAGAGCTACAGGACTATAAAGACATAAAAAGGTACAAGACTTCAGTTGGCTATTTTGGGTTAGGGGGACGCACTGGAGTCCCAGCGTGCATTATTATTAGGAGGAGTTGGCTACCTCCAGGTACACCTGCATGTAATTTATCAACTTCATTAATATGCTCACACTTGGAGACTCAGATACATAGAGTTAGGACCACACTTTGCAGAGGTGCCTTGGCGCGGCAGTGTGGCTTCTACATATTTTTGGCCAAAAGTTTGTGCAACTAAACCTCTGATTTTAACGCATACTGTTGACAGGGCTACTTGTTTGGTTGCAGGCTGGCTGGCAGGTTGAGGCTGTGGAATTTTTGTGTTTTGTATTGTTGTAAGCCTTCCCAATGTGCGCCCTGCTATAAAGGCCGGTTATAGATTCATGCATGTACCATTTTTTTTCTGGTAAAGCACCCTCCCAATGCCGAGGGCATATGGCCTGGTATGGTGCAGTGAGGGGAGGGTGCCCTGCCAGGCCAGCGCTCGGATTAAGGGTCTGATTTGGGAATTTTAGAAGGGACCCCCATATGTGGTTTTCCCTTTTTTTGGGCGTTGGGGGTCCCCCTTAAAATCCCTACCAGACCCAAAGTCTGGTATGATTTAGGAGGAGGACCTTGCACATTTTCTTTTTAAATCTATTTTTTAACAACTAGCGGGGAGCTCTCCCTGCTTTGGCTATGCTGAGTCAAAGCATACGCATTTGGCTCGACAGTGTGCTTTGGCTGCCTTTGGCTGCTGTACGCACTATTCTAAATAGCGTTTACAGCAGCCCTTTGGTTCGGCCGAACGTACGGCTACATCCTTCGGCTCTTTAGCGAATAACCCACTTAACCTAGTTCTCTTTGGGTCCATGATGGTATAAAAAGAAAATCAAAGTATAAAAGGACGTAATTTCCTTTTCATACAAGTATGACACTAGAGCTACACTTGCTGTAAGGGCCCATTCAAACTTGCCACATGGTGAAGCATTAAGATTACCTTTTTTTAACTTTATTGATATGTCAAGCAATTGTTTTCTATGTGCCTGTGTGGTGACTGGCATTGAAAAAATGCTGATCAAGTGCAGTAAAATGCCAGGCACTGCACAGTATGAATGGACCCTAAGAATTTTTAAATTCTTTTTTAAAATGGCATAGGGACTACAAATAAATGGCATAACACCATTGTTTTATTTTTTTTTATTTTTCTTAATGTTAACTTACTAAAGGTATTCATAATTAGAAAGGACCTATTTGGGTGAAAACATAAGCACCACCGAAACTGTCTTCCTCCACACACCTGCACAGACCACAGACGTATGGAATAGCATGATGTAATTCAGCTCACATATAGTATCTTTTATGAAAAAGGATACCACTATTCTGGGACCATTCCTTTGAATAAAAAATCATCACTCTACTGACTGGCCCATAGGCGTTTATCAGGTAGTGTTTTAGAGCAGAGGTATTATTTTTCAAAGTGTTTGTAAACCCCACATTTTTCCATGGCACTCCAATGCACCTCCAAACTCACCTCAATGCAAATGCATTTCAGCACACCATAATGTACAGAAGGTAATCATCTGTGTGCTGTAGTGTGGAGTGTTGAAAAAGGATACATGTGCAGTATTTTGTGCATTGTGGTACATTTGTGGTACATTTGTGGTACATTTACAATGTAAATTGCCAATTTTAAAATTAATGGGTTTTCTTAAAATAACATGCGTTAAACCCCTCCCTCCCCTTAATCCATTCGAGAAGTTTTTACTCAATGATACTAACACCACAGGGCCTATATCAGCCTTATATATACTGATACTTGACCATCTACACACTTCTCTCCCCTCTTACACCTCCAAATGGGAACGAGATTTGGGCTGCTCTATCTCTACTGACACATGGTCCCAGATATGGGCAATGACTTCTCGAAGCTCAGCAAATGTCCAAGCGATAGAGGCCAACTATAAATTGCTCTTTAGGTGGTATCTGGTGCCCCTCAGGATCTCCAAATCTATTCCGTCCTACTCACTAAATTGCTTTAGGGGTTGCCAGGTGGAAGGGTCGGTTCATCACATTTGGTGGGCTTGCCCTAAGGTAAAGAGATTTTGGCATAGGGTGTATCAACTCCTGTATACAGTCACAGGGAAGACATTTCGCAAGGATCCTTTGGAAACCCTATTACACAAAAAACCTTCGGTGTGTACTGCTCGCCAACATCGACTGGTAACCTTTATACTTACAGAAGCCAAAAGGGTAATTGCGAAAGCTTGGTCTAGTCCCCTGATCTACCTTTTGCTGAAGTCAAACTCAGAGTAACGAGAGTGATGTTTTTTGAGAAACTTACTGCACTCCAAAG